TTTGGTTTCAGGCTGACTTGTAGGTTGGGGCTGGGGAATTTTTGTGTTCTGTCTTGTGCCAGTCTCTGCCTCAGTCTTGTGCCAGTCTCTGCCTCAGTCGGAGCTTTCCGGATTTCACGTCTGACACTCATAGACGTGTGTGAGGGAGCCGGAATGAATGGCGATATCGCCACGGGACGTCCACCTGTGAGCTTGCGTGAGACCTATGATGTCACGCTATGCGGGAAGGGGAGGAGCCACGCGGAAATGTAGTACAGACTGTACTATGCAATGGCGCTGATCGCATAGAAAAATAAGTTATGGCAGTGCCCTATGCCATAACGTATTTTACTGTGCGATCGGCAAGTTTCTGCGGGCTCAAGGGGCAGCTGCTTTGGGCCCCGGGCAACTGCCCCTTTTGCCCCGCGTTAAAGAGGGCCCTGGCAGTGGCCTCTCTCAGCAGGATAATGATCCCGGCCACACTGCACACATGGAGGAAGAATGGTTGGAGGAACAACAACAAGGAGTCTGAGGTGATGACTCCGCCTCCAAATTCTCCAGATCTCAGTCCAATCGATCATCTATGGGAGGTGCTGGAGAAACAAGTCCGATCCATGGAGGCCGATCACCTCACAACTTACAGGACTTATAGGATCCGATACTGACGGCTCGGTGCCGGACACCACAGCACACCTTCAGAGGTCTAGTGGTGTCCATGCCTGGACGGGTCAGGGAAAGGGGGACATACTCAATATTAGGGGGGGGGTCATAATGTTATGGCTGCTCGGTGTACATTATAAAGTGCAGATATAATAGAATTGTAATAATAATACAACACAACACTCTGATTACTGGAGCAAAGATATACAACAAAACATTCATTTGTCACCCAAGTATCGATTTGTGCCTAAAATTGAAAACTATGAACAGCGTCCATGACAATGTAAATGTAACAAAGACGATCTGTATCCATTCTCCTTCAAAAACCTCTGCACACGCGTGACAAAAATGTCTCATCACACAACATAACTTGAATCACATGCGTGGAGGATGAATACAGATTGTCTTTGTGGACGTTGTTACATTGATATGCTTTATATTGTTGCTGCAGTTACAAAGAGCACTACTCCTAGTTTTCTCTTGTTATACACGTTTTATTTTAATGGCAAATGTTTCATTGTATATCTGTGGTAATCGGAGCAGTGCGCGGTATTATTATTTCTTTCACATGTAAAGATGTGAGTCACATCAAAAACTACTTTCAGGTAAAATGTAAATCACACCCATGTCGTCTTCCATCACATGATTTCTTATGATGCTTCTTTTCTTAGTTTTCACTATATTTTATTCTAAAGTTTTTGGTTTTAATACTTTGCCAATTGGGGTTAATTATCTTCTATATGTGTGGTGAGTATGTAATCCTGAGATCTCCCTCTGATCAATGTTTATAAACAATGTTACTTTGTATCTCTCTATCTCCCTCTGATCAATGTTTATAAACAATGTTACTTTGTATCTCTCTATCTCCCTCTGATCAATGTGTATAAACAATGTTACTTTGTATCTCTCTATCTCCCCTCTGATCAATGTTTATAAACAATGTTACTTTGTATCTCTCTATCTCCCCTCTGATCAATGTTTATATACAATGTTACTTTGTATCTCTATCTCCCTCTGATCAATGTTTATATACAATGTTACTTTGTATCTCTCTATGGACAGGGTGTTCTACACATGGCTCTTGTACTTCGATGAAGTTTTTTTGGCTGTGTGTAGCACACTTGGTGCCCACAGTCGGTTGAACAAGCATTGTGCAGAAGCTGAACCACAATTGGAAGCATGGTTGGAACTTTCAGGGCTCTATTATAACCTAACCCCTAACCCTAAGGGAATAACATGAACATTTCTTGCAGTTTGTTTGAGTAACATTATCTTCTGATGTAATGATTGTTCTCTCATCCGGTTGACGCGGTGTTGTCCGTCTCTCTGCAGGAAATTTCATGAACAGGAGTGCCCCCCTTCCCCGGAGCCCGCGCGGAAGGACAAGGACAAGAAGGGTTGCCTTTGCGTCATCTTCTGAAAACTCGAACTCTGGGTCACTTTATTTTTTACCCATCCAGGTTTTTAGCATCCTGCTGGATTCTCGTGTCACCAGGGTGGCCTTAGTCCACGACAGCCTTGGCTCTGCCGACTCACACCGGAAGTGACGGGGCGGCCTATTGTAACACTCCCCCCTCCCCCCCTCAGATGACCGCCGGAACCCAGGAGAAGGCGGGGTCTACACCACGACCCTCCCACGTCCCCCCGCCTCTGAGCCG